AAAAAAAAAAAAAAAAAAAAAAATTGGGTGTCTGGCCTGGTTCCCTGGGCTTGTTCCAGAAGCACCCCCCACCCAAACTCGGGGTGTAGGGGCAGTTGCCTGGATGTGGGTGTTGGCCAGGGAGGTTTCCCATGGATCAAAATGACTACATCCAAGGCCGTAAGTCCCAGTGTGGCCGGAGGGTTTGACATGGACACCATCTGCATGATGACAGGGTCACAGATGTCTGCATTCCCTTTCCTTCCCACCCTTGCTGCCACCTCAGGGAGCAGAACATGTGCAGGGCCCATACGTGCTCTCCTCTGCTGTCCTGGAGCCTTATTCCCCAGGCTTGATTTGCAACAACTCAGGAGGGACTCTTCAGAGCTTCTCCTCCCTGCCTCCCTCAACCCACTCATCTTGCAACACGTGTTCTTGTGAAATTGCGGCTGCTGTCACTGACAGCTCCGCAACACCCCATGTCATTGAGCCCTGGGGTGCTAGGTGAAGATAAAAGCAGGTAGCAGTAGCAGTCCATGTGCCTGGGGTGTGGACAAGTGGCAGTGGGGGCAGGGGTGGTGGTAATCAGTGCCAGGTGACTAGGCCTGCTGGGCACCAGGAAAAGCCTGGAGCCCAACTGGCTTACATTGGTTGCCATGGCAACAAGAGTGCCCTTGGCCTTACCCAGATGAGATTTATGATCGTCTTGTAGCCCTGGTAACTGGAGTTGCTCCCCAGAGATGGGAAGTGCAGAACCTCAGCTCTGAGAGGAGTGTCCCCCACACCGAGGTGTGACATACACAAACCACACACCACACCCATCGAGTGTGGGGCACCACATTCCTTGTCTCTTTGGAAGAATCTTGTGACTAGGGGACCATTTCTCTGGAAGACAATGCTCTGCTATGTGAGGCCTTGTCTCTGTGGAGGAGATATAAGGACAAAGCCATACATTCAGCCCCGTAGTCTCCAGAGCATGGTCACAGCGTTGGCCAGGGGCATGTGTCGAGGGGGATGTGGCCCGATTTGAGGTAAATTGGGGGTGAGTCACTCTGGCCATGGTGTGTGTCTACAAGTGCACGTGCCCAGTCAGGCTGCACAGGAAGGGACACGGCCTCCTAAGCTGGACATTTCCTACCACGCTGGAGATTTTTTCCATTCTTTGCTACTGGCCTGGAGAGTAGGTTGGATGGAGTGGGGCTGGGTCTGCCCATGCACAGCTGCAGTCCTGCTCCCAGCCTGGACACACAGAACTCTTGATTTTTCTGTCCTAGGCTGAGGCTAACCCCCAGCACAACTTCGCTGGCTGAACACCCAGCCCCCACTGAAGTCCACATCAAACAGAGGGGCTGGAAGGGAAGCAGATCATGAGCCCAGGCAGCAAGCAGCCAGTAAAGAATCCCTGGGAGACAGCATGGGTGTGACTGAAACACGAGGAAAGGCCTGAAAGGCCTTTCAGCTCTCAGTCCTCAGGCAGGGAGTTAGAAAAGGTGAAAGGAGCCAGGGAAAAATAAACCCTAGACTTTGGCTTGCCTCCCTGCCTGGCTCCGAGTGGAAAGAATGGGAAATAGAAGTAGGGAGGACACCCAGGCATGGGGGTGCACACCTGTAATCCCAACACTCGGGGGTGCTGAGACAGGAGGATCACTGCAAGTACAAGGCCAGTCTGAACTACATAGGGAGATCCTGTCTCAAGAAAGAAGGAGAAGGGGAAGGAAAGGAAAGGAGGGCAGAGCGATAAACAAGGGCGGCAGAGAAAAATACTGGCAGAAGAGCCAGGGGCTTAGCTCAGTGATGCCTGCAAGCCCAAGGTCCCGAGTTCGATCCCTGGTACAAAAGAATACTGCAGAAGGCTGCAGAGAACGTGGAAAATCCAGGGAGCAAAAGACCTGATCCCTGGGAGAAAGGTGGTGGGGAGAAGCTGGGCAAGTGGGAAGCCAGACAAGGAGGTCTTTCCAGAAAACTCTGTAAGGCACATCAGCAGATGGATCCAAGCCCTATTTGTCTGTTGTTCTCTGTGGAAGATCCAGAGAAATCCCAAGAATGAGCAGCTAAAGGGCCTGGAGTTCCTGAGCCATGGCGGTAGGGGAGGGATCTCTCCCAGCCTTGGGCTAAACAGCCCAGACACCTGGCTGTTGACACAACAGCCTCTGGTGGATGTTTCTGGAGGGGCTGGTTTACCCCTGGGGTCCACTCCTAGCTCCTTGGCACCTAGCGCCTGCCCCTTCTCCCCATCTCAGGCGTCTCTGTCTGGACTCGCTCCTTCCTACTGCTGACAAGGTCTCCAGTTCTGATGGGGACTGACTCTGTCCGGCAGTGAGCAGGTCCCTGGCCATCAGCCCAGGCAGTCTAGATGGGCTCAACCATGTTGACTGACCCTTGGCCTCTCAGACTGGCCCAAAGCAACACCACAAGAGCCACTTTCTTTTTCTTTCAAATGCAGTTCTTTTCCAACAATGCCTGCAAATGAGCTTTGGTGCAGAGATTGGGGAGCAGGGGACGCCCACAGGGGAAAAAAAGAAAGAAAAATCCCCAGCCAATTGTACAAAGCCTTTCCTGGAAATCCCTGGCTCTGGGGTGGTCAGGACACAACAGCTGCCTCCCCATCTCCTGGGCTCTGGCTTTGACAGTCCAGGCATAGATGGGGTTCACCCCATTCCTCTTAAATGGCAAAGGAAAAGGGCTGGGGGTGGGCGCCTGTATATGTATGTATGTATATATATACATACATATATATTTCTATGATAGGCTATATTAGAAAATTCTCTCTATGTATAAATATAAAACACTGGTATCCAAACATGACACCGACAGGTAACTAAAGTGCTTGACAGGAGTCAGGCGTGTGTATGTATGCAGGTAAAACTATGCAACCCAGTGCCAGGATGGAGGCGCTGGGGTAGCAGAATGACGTGGAGAAAAGCAGGTGTGACCTAGGGGGAAACTGAGGCCTTCTCAGCCCCGGGGCTCTCTGGTTACCTTCCCAGGCAACAATCCTCATCTTTACCCTCCTTTCCCTGCTGTGCCTCTGTCCCAGAGGAGCAGTGTTGGAAAGCTGGGAGGGGCCAGGGATTTAGCTCAGTAGCTAGGAGTTCAATCCCCAGTACAAAAAAAAAAAAAAAAAAAAA